ATATTATGGAAATGAAATGCTCAAATGACACAAATGACAATGGGCAATTTTCACATCACTCAATAAACTGAGGCTCTATTCAGTCCTTATTTATGCCATGAGTTATTTTGAGTTTAACTTTTTAAAAAAGAATGTCAAAGAATGAAATTCTCACCCTTGGTTTTACAGCAGAGAATCTGCCTAACTTAAAAAAAATTTCAAGGAATGAAACTAACTACTTAGATGGGGAAGGGGGCACAAACCCAAGAGGATTCCCTACTGAGGAGTGAGAACATTGTTTTCTTTTGCCCCCAACAAAATAAACTCTTATAGAAGTAGTGCAACAGCATTTGGGATGATGCAGCCTCCTTTTACAAGAAATAACTTTCTTTTTAATATATTCCCTTGGGCTAGGAAGGAAAATCTTTTTGCCTCTTAACTGCTGATTCAGTGACCTGAGAATTGGGTCAAAATGAAAAAATAATCCACAACTCTGCTTTCAGTTTGCTGAAAGCAAAGTATATATAGTATATATACTTTATATATAGTATATATAAAGTATATATACTATATACATGTATATAGTGTATATATATATACTATTTGAAGATACTTTTTCTCATGTATATACATATATGTATATGTATATACATGTACATACATATATCTATATACATATATGTATATATGTATATACATGTATATAGTATATATATGACACATACCTGAATCACAGGTAAATGGAATGCTGATAAATATGCCTTAATTTATGGCTGCAGTTATATATTTTTTGTTAGTTATCATTTCAATTGATATGTGTAATTTGACAATGTCCAATAACTTCCCTTTTTCAAAAATTTCTTGTGGGTTTGGTTTTGTTGTTGTTGTTGTTGTTGTTTTTTGGTGAGAGCCTTTTCTTGGGTTTTTCTTTATTATCTCCACTCTTCTTGGCTATGGAGAACCTTAATCTAAGTTTCCTGGAATGTCACTTTTTCAAGAAAAATATATTTTAAATAATTTATTTAAAGTACATTTTAAATATACAATTTTGCATGTGACTTAGTACTACATTGATGACCTGATTCTCAGTGTTGAGACGTTATTTTGTCTGTCTCTTTAGAGATGGAGAACTTTACCCTTAGGAAAGATGGGGCTTTCCTACTTAAACTTTTCCTACTTCTTCTTTATCCTCTATAAATTTAATTATATTACAACATGGAAATTTCTCCTTTCTTGATGCCTGAATTTATAGTTTCAATTGCAGTTCACTTTCAGAGTCTCCTGGATGGGAAGCAATACTTAATAAATTGGGCCTCTATGAACCCATTTATAACAGAATATCTATTTTCAAGGGGAGCTATGACACAGATTTTAAGACCTTTGTCTCTCTTGGAAATAAACAGTTCAAGGTTGAGTATTATATAAGACATATCCTACTCAAGGGTTCTTTCTTGCCCTTTGTTGAACTTTGTTTGCTTAGACAGAGCAGCCCTGTGTTGTTTGCATATGAGAAAAGATTTAGCAAGATCCCACTGGAAAACAATGACTGTTGCAATAGAAAACATACTAAACACAAATGACATCGTTTTGGGGGGCCAAGAGCATTATGCTTCACAACTTGCAAACATGAATTAATTTTTGTCATTGTAGCCGTTTCTTTTTAGCTAACACTATTTGTCTGTATTTGGTAAACAGGGCAAATTTCCAAATTTTGTCTTATGGAATAAAAAGACTTTTGGAAATGTGAAAGGGGGCACAGGGTGTTCACACATTATGACCGTTTCCTGTTTCCCACTGTCAGTGGCTTATTATTGGTGGCTTATTTTCATTTTGTCTGCCCTCAGAGGAGACGAGGCTTCTCTTTCAGGCACACAAACCTTTTGCTCCTTTGTTTTCCATTAAAAAAAAAAAAAGCATTACAAACACTTGGAAATAGGTAAACAAAGGGTTGAACCCCTCATGTATGGTTGTGAGACATAGGAAACTGTTTCCACATAAGGCGTGGTCCATTTCTAGGGATTATCGTAAATAGCGATGTTCCCCAAAGGCTATGAAATTCAGTTTAGCTTAAAGACTAAAATTTGAGTTTGGGGCACTCAATAAACACTTGATTGATTGGATTAAATTCTACCTTTCAAGATTTTACAATTTTTTTCCCTAGGAAGTTTGTTCTTGGATAGCTGAAGTAACAATTCTGTTAGGTTAACAATATATTGATTGGCAGAACCAGGTGTTAGTCATGCCATAAAGATAAGCTTCTTTCCTGTTTTTCAAACTTAGGTCATTGAGAGTCCCTAATGTGTGCGACAGAGCCAACCTCACTCCTCTATAAGAAAGCTTACTCTTAATTTCTCTGTCTCCTCTATGCTCACACTTCTCTTCTCCCAGGAGATCAGCTGCCTTGTAGTTGAACTGGGTCCCTAGACATCTGCTTACAGGCTTTATTATAAGTTTCCAAGTAATAGAGAAGCTGCAAGGCAAAGTCAGGTTGACCTGATGGTGGCTAGCAGGCAGTGTGTGCATGGAGACTGGCCAAGTACATAGGCACGTCTCCCCCTAAAGTATCCTATGAAAGTGAAAACATCCAGTGATAACTCATGAGACTGTTAGGAGCAATGAGTAAACTAATAGATGAGTTAGGGAAGCCAAGTGCAGAGACCAGGGGCGTTAGTTACAGGGCAAGAGTTAGTTGTGAGCAATCACTTGCAATATTGTGCCCTTGGGAATTTTTAAAAGCTTTATGCTTCTTTTGGGACTCCAAGACAAGTTCTTGGAAGTAAGCAGGGCAGTTTTTATTTTTCTTGTTGATGGATAGGGTTAAGTGGCTTCTGTAATTCAATAGTGAATCTGGAAGAATCCTGAATTTAGACTATTTAGGGAAGATAGTAGGTTTAGTATGGTCTTACAATGGATGAAAAGCCCCTTCACCCTACGAGCCTCTAGAGAGTGGGCTGTGGAATGATACAGGAGATGAGTAGGAGACCCCCACAAAAGTGATGGGAGAGAGCCTTCTCAAGAATTTACAATACTTCATAATGTGACCACTGAGCACTGCATTGATTCTTTAAGGACTCAGTGTCATTTCCTGGCCTCCTCCATACAGATAGTAACTTTTTCAGGATTTCCACACTTAATGGGGTATGGGAAACCAAAACTTTGAATCTTTTTTGCTGAGAAATGCTTAGTTAATTGCTTCTACATCTTAGTAGGAGTTAGCTTCCCTAATTAAATATATGTATTCAATTATGGACAATTACCACTTTGGAATGGCTCAGCCCATTTCTTTCTTTCTTTCTTTCTTTTTTAACTTTTTAAAAAATTTAAATACAATTAACATATAATGTATTATTGAATTCAGGGGTAGAGGTCAGTGATTCATCAGTCTTATATAATACCCAGTGCTCATTACATCACATGCCCTCCTTAATGTCCATCACCCAATTACCCTACCCCCCACCCCCTCCCTTCCAGCAACCTTCAGTTTGCTTCCTATGATTAAGAGTCTTTTATGGTTTGTCTCCTTCTCTGATTTTGTCTTGTTTTATTTTTTCCTCTCTTCCTCTATGATCCTGTTTTGTTTCTTAAATTCCAAATATGAGTGAGATCATATGGTAATTGCCTTTATCTGATTGACTTATTTCACTTAGCTTAATACTCTCTAGTTCTAACCACTTTGTTGGAACTTTTTTTTTTTTTTATTGAGGCCATTTCTTTATGAACACATCTTCCTAAGGAAATAAATCAAGAGCACAATGTGGTACATAGAAGAGAGGATGGGCTTCTGAGTGAGACATGTCTGGGTTTGAGTCCCATCTCTAAATAACCACAGGACAGAGGACCCGTCCCTTCACTGAGTCTCAGTGTACTCAGTTAATAATGGGAATAATATCCATCTTTTGCTGGGGTCTTGGGAAGACTAGATGAAATGAAATTATTTTTATTGAAATCAACTGACATTAAAAAAGAAAACTCATGAAGATAAACGCATTGGATCACATTCTGCAGGTAAGCTAAGACTGTCTCAGATAACAGATGCCATGGTTTTAAAAGATGGACCATAATATCCTTCTAAATACATTCACACTGCAAAAATGATTAGCAGTGTGGATTTATTAGAAGCCAAATTAAGCTGCTTTCCCATGCCATGCCACTGTCACGCAGGATGCATGCCCTGGGCAGATTTCACGCATTTTTGTCTTTGGGTTGGCGGAGCTGTCAAATGCCAGTTTTGAAAGATGAGGCTATCTACAGATGCTTGCATAACACAGTTAAGCAGAGAAACAAAAATGAAAATATCCCTTGGTCATTCACTGGGTGCTAGATAGCTTCTGTTTGTGCTTTCAGATGCACTCTCCACCCTGCTCCTACCGCCCTGGGCCCAGAGAAACCCATCTGTACATCTCCACCAGGGCTTCCTTGTCCTCTGGTTTGTGACTGAGCTCAGTCAATGGGGATCCACAGCAGAGATTGGGAGAAGACAGTGACTAAGCTCAGGGTATTTAAAAGTTTTTTAAGCCATACAGACATAAAATATGACAGAATTTATATGGCTTACCAGGTAGATACATAGCTCCTTATAGCTCAGTTGGCTGGCACAAGCCCAGCCCAGTGCCAGGACGCGAAGGGGATTCCTATATAGGCTTACCTGTAACCCATTAGTGACACACTAAGGCATTGCCTTATTACACCTCGTATTACCTATATTCATAAGATGTGCTCAGTAAACTTCCCATAGATGTGAATACATTTTTTATTAGTAGTAAAAAGTCTTGATTTGTTGTATAATTCTTATTTGGTTATGACTGAATTATTCCCAACTCTTTACTACTGCATATAGCAATTAGTTCCAATAACTGGATAGAAATGATACACCATGCTTTTTGCAAAACTCAACTGTAAAAGTAAGTAAGTATGATCACACATGTAAACAGCTCTCTAAGTCAGACAAATAGCATCACATTTGCTATTTACAGGGACTAGGTCGTTAAGAATAAATCACGAACAAATCATGGAATGCTTACAGGATCCCTTCTCACAAGCTCTCCATTGGGTACGACTTCAACCAGGTGGATGATGATAATCATGGAATTCAGAATGTAAGTCAGAAACATGTTCTTGTGCAGAGTCACCCTTTGGCAGCCAAGGCTCCTGGAAGAAAATGTAACAGAAAGCATTATCTAGTGCCAAAATGTTGAAGTACCTGGAAAAAAATTTTTGGTAATATTTGTAATATTTCCTTTAATAATAGGTGAGAGATCTGTAGAAATAAGTGAGGCTGGTCCCACCACTTTTCTGCCTGATTTTTAAAAACAGTTTCCAGTCATGGAAGCTCCTAGTTTTCAGTCCTCAGCATGACTTTATACAATAACTGAAAGAGTGAGTGATAAAATCACTTTTAATTATAGCAAATGTCATGGAATTAAGAGAAGAACTCTTACAAGAGAAACCATTAGGGTTTGGAGGGTGCTTCTGATGAAAAGTCGAATATTCATTGATGTAACCAGGCAGAAATTGTGTGGCAAATGGAATAACAGAGCATGAAGTCAGAACCAAGGCTGCCCTTGACAAAGTACTGAATTCGTGTCCTTGACCAATCCCAGACTTTATTAAATCTCCACCATTCTTCTCTTTTGCCATTTCTTCTATCATTTTCTTATTTCTCATATTCCAACTAGAATCAACTCTGTGGTTCTCCCTTTCCACATCCTCCTGATGGTGGAGCTCAGACACAGTCAGAGAATTCTAAATAGGCTCAAATTTGATCTCATTAGGAGGCATATTGTGGTTTCCATCTGAGGAAACCAATCCACATTCTGCCAATTGTTGGCATAGCCATTTCCCACCTTTTGGGTACTAAACAATTTGTTGGATTTTTCATTCCTCTCTCCTCCACTTCATAATCTTGTACATATGTATTTGTGTGAATGAGCACATAAATAAACATTAGTTTGAATATCCTATTTCACTTTTTGATGCAAATAGAGAGAACCCTGTAGGATGGCTATAACAAAATTGGAATGATTATCCTTGATGAACAAAAATCTTGCATTTACCATAATTGATCGGTCAAAAAATGTTTAGCATAATATGAAAATTTAAAACATTCAGTTAATGATGCCAATGATTGATCATGGTAACTATTTCTAAAAAAATTTTCATGGGAGGAAATTAGGATTCTAGGAATTTTGAAAAGGGAATGGTCTGGGTTTATTTACAATGCTTTCCTAAATTTCAAATCAGAAGAAAATGTAATTATCTGTAGTAAAAAGTATATTTAAGTAATGAGATCATCTGTTAGGGCATTTTTTGATTATTGTAGCTACATCTTCCAACTTTCAGGAAGCATAGCCATTAGTAAATAGTAAATACAGAATATTTTAAAATTTGCAACTTGTTGAGCAGGGATAGAATGCAGAACTTAATATCCTGGAAGGGTTTAGAGAAGAACTTACACACACACACACACACACACACACACATCCATGTACTACTTTATTTGGCAGCAGAAAGCTCTGTTAAACAAACCAAATCTAATTGGTTTTATAATAGTATTATAAAAGTAGGTTGCAAACTTAAGGCTTTAAAAAGAAAAAAATATTTATGCGAAACATCATACCCATTTATCCTGCATAAACTCTTCATTATTGAGACTGCTACATTAAACCTGTTGACCTGTCATTTTTCATAGAGTCATAATAGCATTTTATAATTCTTCTCACTGGGGGGCAAGTATCTGTGGTCTCATTATTGGTTTCAGCCTGGCTTAAATCAACAACAGTTGATGTGATCCAGAACTAAAGAGTATGGATGAATGCATCAAACAGCGTCGCTATTCTCATGCCTGTTTTTCTTTTGACCAGGTAGAGTTCAATAATCTGCCAATGTACATCAGTGTAAAGGACTGGTTAATACTCAAAAATCAAAAATCAAAATCAGAAATATACTTCCTCCGCTTTGACCTTATTACTCCATGCCCTTTTGTCCCTGCTTTATTATTTTTTGTTCTTAACACTACCTCCTGACATAGCATCTATCTGTTTATTTGCCTCTTATTTTCTCTGTTTCTCTCACCAGAGTGGGGGTGCTAAAGGAATTCATTCTGTCCACCTAGAAGAGGGTCTGATATCCTACAGGGTTTGATACTCATGTTTTTAAATTAAAAATCTTTACATAAGAGCAGTTTTCTTCTTCACGCTGTGACCTGTAAACAGCTTTCTAGTACATCAAAGAATTACTTAAATGCTAGATTGTCTCATATCTTATACCTTGTATCATACTGAACACTTGCCAAGTTCTTGCTGTAGATATTAACTAACTAATATTGGACATTATGCTGTTGTTCAACAATAGCAAAAACCTATATCTAGTGCAGTATTATGTACATAATGAGAAAATGATCTGGTTTAAAGCTGGATAAACTGTTAGGTTCCAAAGGAAGAATATGACTAGTATAGAATATGAGTTCCTGTGTCTTAAAGTTTCAATATAATTTCTGCTTATTGAGTTTAAAAAATTTTATTACACTTACTTGATGACATTTACACTCAGCTTTTTGAAGCAAGTTAGAGGTACTTTAAGTTTATTAAAATTCATTCAGTAATCCAACACATATTACTGTGTACCCATTTGATAATCCAACACACACTACTGTATGATTCAGACCTTCTGGTAGATACCAGGGATATATGGGTGAACAAAACAGACAGCTTCTGTCTACGGGGACCTTATATGCTACATAATTATTTACTCTTATTAGGATAACTATTCTGAAGGAGAGGCACAGGATGCTAATGAGGTTAACTGAACTTAACATAAGGAATTAGGTGTTCAATTGTTTTCAATGCGAATATTTTGTTGCTTGAATGAACATGATCTGTCAGATCTGAAATGTCTTAAGTAGAAAACAGCACAAAACTGATGTTAGCGATTCTTCATGCCTCTTTTTTTTTTTTTAAGATTTTATTTATTTATTTGACAGAGAGATCACAAGTAGGCAGAGAGGCAGGCAGAGAAAGAGGAAGAAGCAGGCACCCTGCTGAGCAGAGAGCCCAACTCGGGGCTTGATCCCAGGACCCTGAGATCATGACCTGAGCCAGAGGCAGAGGCTTAACCCACTGAGCCACCCAGGCGCCCCTATACTTCATGCCTCTTTATGAAAATAGGTATTTATTTAGATAGACCAAACATTCCTCGCCCTTTGAATGGCAGGGAATCCCAAGTACTATAGATTCTCTAATAGCAGGATGATAAGACAACATCTATTTCTGTCTTGGCCCAACCAAAGTGTCATTCAGATGTGAGGAAGTGATAATGATTTACTTGGGTATGACTCTCAAGATGCCATATTTTAAGGCTCAAACTGAATGTTATTTTCATGATTTTAGTTTACTCAGTGTAAATTTTCCACAGTGAAAAATGTTTCAAGTAACTGAGACGTTAGATATGCATGTGTGTGATTTGGGGGAGCTTGTAGTTGTATGAGAAGGCGTTTAATATTTGCCTTGAGTTTTGCAGATTGTGTAAACCAGTTTGATATCACAGGATAAGGAACAGCAGTGTTCAGTTCTTTGTAAGACTGTAATGATAGTCATATGCAAAGTAAATAAGGAAAGAAGTCAGTCATAAACCAAGTAAAAGCTGTTTTGAGTTTACTGGTACATGTGAAAATATGCACTGCAATACCTGCTGTGATTGATACAAGCAGTTGTAGCTTTCTGTGTAACTCAAAGTTTTCTTTACCTGGCTATCCTTTCTTGTTCACAATGGACCAGACAAGTGAGGGGAAGGGAGGGAATGTGGAATGGATTGCATTAAAACTCCTAGAAAAATTCGAAACACAGTGTATTATACATCTTTCCTCTCCGAGAAGAGACTTTATACTTTTTGATTTAACACAAAATCTTTATCCTTAAGGAACTCCTTTTCAATCATTATTCTTGCCTCTTTTCCTATTACTGCTGTTCTATGAGGGAACAGTTTGCCAAGACGTGATCAACAGTTATCTTTTGTGTCCTGTCATGTCAAGGGTGGGTTGGGAGAAAGGAGGCTGGCTGTCTTTGGTGCCATTGATTGAGTGGGTGTTTCTGGAGCACTAGGAAGGCAACCAGAGATGTATAATAGTGGCTACTCTACAAGTACAAGATAAAGTGTTAACTCTCCATCCACTTTGTAGATGTGACAGAGAGTAACAGTGCATACTGAGTGAGTAGCGAGGAATCAGTATTGCTTCTGGAGGTCCCAGTGGAAGCCCTCTTTTTGTATTGATACGGCCAAGGTAATGTAACATAGACAATGCAGTGCAATAAGGACATCCCCTGCCTTCCAACATAGATCTCTATCCACTTTCAGGCAAGAGTAATTAATATTCAAAATTCAACAATCAGTAAGGCAAGAGTAGCAAGCAGTCAAAATGGATGTTAATGAATGTTCGATTGTGGTGATTTTTTGAGAGAAAACAGTGAGATGTTTTAGTAATTTAGGACGATTCCACAGAAATGTCAATTGATAAATTCCAAGTGGAACTGATGGGGTAAGTGAATTTTATTGCAAACTTGCTTAAAATGGTCAGGGAACAAACACAGATAAATGGCCACTTATGTGACTTTCTCAAGACGGTCTTCCCTAAGGGGATCTTCATCTTAACTCTCTTGTTGACATTTACTATGGCATCTAGTAGTGAGGAGTCTTGCTGAATAAATTTGATGTTTCTATTTAATCCCTCTCCATATTGTTGCTCCTAACTATTTTTCCTGCAAAGAAAATGAGTATATATATGAGTAATCTTACAGATTTTTAGCAGCAAAGTAATGGCAGTTCCACAGCCTCCTGTATATTTAGTAACTGTAAATTCCTCTGCAGGCATTCTTAGCCTGCTGGTTTGAGGGGGACACCTGCAGGGTTATTCCTTTTTATAGACCCTATAAGGCACATTTTATGAGTTGAGAGTGAGATTTCAATGGGATGATTATGAATGGGGCATTAGGTCTCAAAAGTGGAGCTGGGTGTAACTTCTCATTTTGGTTTCATGAAAGTTTTATGAAATTTATTAGATTTTGCAGAATAACTCAAGCCTAGGAATGCAGAATTAAGCAAGGGAGTGATGATTATATTTTTGCTCAGGTTTCACACAGATGATGCCACTTAAGCACATAAATCATAAAAGCTTCCATTGTAATATGCAGTAAAGACCTTAAGGCTGATGTTGAGCATTTGAAAACAATTCTGGGGAAATGTTGCTAATTAAAAGATAAAATCCAGTGATAGATCAGAATTACCTTTTATTTTTTGCTTTTAATATTTATGAAATGCAAATATACAGAAAAAATCTGAACATTCAGAAATATACTTCAATTTTTTTTCATACTTTAATTTGAAGAAAACAGATGCCCTTGATATTTTTAATTTGGGTAGGTTTAAGATAAAATTAAGAACAAGTATTAAAATCAGATGTGACTGCTTTTCGATCTTAATATTGGTATCTCAGCATGTGTGTTTTTCATATCCTATCTGTCTCTGGTTGTGTGCACTCTGGAGAACAAGCTATTTCAGTTTCTGTCTTCCCATTACCATATTCAGATTATAAATCAATAAGGCTTGATTTTCCTCGTAAGATTTAAGTTGCTGTTTGGTAGGCTTCTGGAATTGAGAGACAGTAGGACAAAATTAGGTGCTTTCTAGACAGTCTGCCCCCAGATTCTCTCAGGGGTTTGATCAGACTAATTCTGTTCTGGGTCTAACTGGACCAGTTGAGAAATACTTTACTTACGTGCTGTACTTTTAAACACACATCTTCTGTGAAGATAGAAATGAGTATTAATATAGAAATGAGTGCTGAAGGAATATTCTTATTTTCGTTGCTGATTTGGCTGTCACATCTCATCACTTATTTAAGTGACTGTAGAAATAAGGAACTAAGAAATATCCCATTGACACTTTATTATCTTTAAACTCCTGAATACATGTATTAGTTGCACCATTACCGATTTGGGGACTGTTTCTTTCAAATTTTTTCCTTTCAATTTTTTTATGGTTGTATTAAAAATTTTAAAGGATAGAATTTTAGTGACAGACTTTTTAATCAAAGTTATATGGGAGCCAAATGATATATTTATTCACCATGGTCAAGTGCAGTTGAAAAATGAATAGAAATTCTGAGATTAATCATGCTATGTGTTTACTCTGATATATATATATATATATATATATATATATATATATATATTATATATAATTATTATTTTTTAAGATTTTATTTGTTTTACTTGACAGATACAGATCACAAGTGGGCAGAGAGGCGGGCAGAGAGAGAGAGAGAGAGAGGAGAAAGCAGGCTCCCTGCTGAGCAGAGAGCCTGATGCGATGTGGGGTTCGATTCCAGGATCCTGGGATCATGACCTGAGCCGAAGGCAGAGGCTTTAACCCACTGAGCCACCCAGGCACCCTACTCTGATATATTTTGATCATTATAAGTGAAAATACTCTTCTAGTCTAATTCTAATAATTAATCCCTTCTGTCTTGCTGCTTTGTTTATATCTTTCTCCAGTTAAACCACATATGGAAGGAGCTCATTCTCTGTTTATTTAAATTATTATTTATTTACTATTACTTAATTATTATTATTCAGTTAACAAAAAATTGCTACTCAGTTACATTGCTTGGTCAGAGTAAGAACTTTGACTATGTGAGATATAGACCTAATGTGACAGTGGTATAAGATGAAGGCAAAGATTAAAAAGGGTCAAGGGAAAAATAATAATAGTAGTTGTGTTCAGGATGTGCTTACAGATGGTCCCCCCACCCCCAGCTTAATTTTCTTTAGTAGTAGCATGATAATATTTTGACAAAAATCAAATTAAGATTCTGTTATACTATGTATGAATCACTGTATATTTACTTACATTATATATCTAGTTATATTATCACCTCTTTAAGGTGTGGAGGATTATTTTAGTCTGAGCCTATGAAGGAGCTTTTCTTGACCCTTTGTATAATACCACACAACTAAAGAACGTATTAGTTGAAGGAGACAGCCCAGTAGTTTAGAAATTATTCAGAGTTCTCATGAAAGAGTAATATAGTGCCTCCTGCCTTTGATTTACAGAAATCACACTAAATATAGGACATGTGTAGGACTGAATTGAGCACACATTACCATCTCACATGCATGATGAAGTCATTCCTGAAAGAACAGATTCAATGCTTCCAATTCTCCTTTATTATAAAATCAATACTTATATCAACTTAATCATTTTGCGATAGATTCTGCAATCAAGTGCCTAGGCATGGCCTTGAAATAGAAACCTCCCTGGGATTTTACTCCTCAGAGTGTTAGAAGATAACTGGTTGATGATGCTCGGCTTGCAAGGGCAAAATATTGACACTTAACTCTTCTTCCAGAATCTGCTTGGTCCAGCTGAGTGAGTCAGGACCAGAAGGGAGCCTTACCTTCCTTCTATGGCTAAACACCATTCTGCGCTCACTAGCTACACTTATCTTCCGGACAAATCCACCTGTGACAAGCTCTACAATTAGACATGGTACATTTGAGCCTCTGGCCATGGCCTCCATATTTTAGGAAGAGGGTAAAAGAAGGAAGAGGAGCCTCTCCTGAGTACTTCTGCAATCTTAGCCATGGTAAATGGAGCCTTTCACATGTTAACCCAATGTACCTATGGGCTCACAGGACTATTTCATTTTGGGAAGAAGCCATATTACCTTTGAAAATTATATGAATCCATCTTATTTTCCTCAGAGATAGGGTTAAAAAGCATGTCTTAAGTAATTCCACTTTCCTTACTACTCCATGATTCCCAGTGTTGCATTTCTCATGTGGTTTGCAGAAGACCACCCTTACCCTAACTCGTACAGTTTACCATTTATTTCAGTACCTTAAAGAAGAAAATAAAAAGCAGATGATATAAGGGTACTTACTTGAAAAACACGAAAATCCCCAGTGAAATCACCAAGGTGAAAATCGACAAAGAATGGCCTACAATAGCCAAGTAGTACAGGACGTATGCATTCTGGAACAACAACAACAAAACAGTTATAAAAATGAACAGGCAAATAAATGATAATAGAGGAGGGAAAATAGTTTCTATCTTTAATATCCTTTAAAAAATCCACTAAAATTATAACAAATGTTTCAGAGAATTAAATTATATTGAATCATAATATTTGGGGTTAACACATTAAAATATTACAAGATTATCAGTTATATTAGAATATGCATGATGTGGTGGGAAGAACATCAGACTGGATTCATCAGCACTGTTCTTTACTCAGAGTACTAATCACTAAGTCTTTGTGTGACTCTCATAAGTCAGTCACTTTGACCCTCTGGATCTCGGTAGGCCTCATCTCTAAAATAGTTTGGTCAAAACTAAATGATTTTTAAAACAATTATCGCTGCGTGTAAGAAACATTGTTAACTACTAGGATACAGAAACACTGAACATAAAAGGACAGGGAAAGATGATCTATGCAAACACTAACCACAAGAAAACTGGTATTCTATCATAGAGGTCCAGATGTTAAGTTAGGAAGACAGAACAATTTTTAATTTCTATTAACCTAATAATATAAACTCAAACCACATAAAGCATAAAGCAAAAAGTGACACCATGCTCAATAGAACATATGATACAAATGCAGTGTAGATAAGTTGGATCATTTCTATGCAGTTTTTTTAATTCCTGGGAGAAATGTGGCATTTCGGTATAAATCATTGTGCTTTAACATTTGATTCTTGTGAATTTCCTTGTGAAGAGCCTGATATGAAAACACTGATTCTGCTAAAAAGCTCTCAAAGCACGCAGAGTCTTTTGTTTGTTGATATGCATTTTTGCTGGACAGAAACAAATATTGCCTTTCTAGGCTTTAGAATTTCAAAATGAACGAATCAACTTCTCCTGAATGGTGGCTGTTGTACCACTTGATGGGGCATTTACATATTATTTGCCACTTTCATTGATAACTACCCTCCTAACGGCGCCATTTTTATCCTTGCAGAAATGATGACAAAGTTGGAATAGTTGGTTTATAGCCAGAGCTGATAAAGACTTCAAAATAGCGTACACTCCCCTTCTTGAAAGTATTTAGGAATCTCTGCAAGAGAAGCTCAGCTCCTGTCTTTTCTCCCACCAGTTTATTTTCTGGCTACTTTTCTAACTTCACCAACTAGATAAAACTAGGAGTGGCACTTTCTAAGAGTTCTTTCTTTTAAACAGTTCACAATATAGAATCCCCTTGCCATTTAAAATACTGTTTTTAATTTGGATATATAGCCGTGCCCCTAACCTCTGTCACTATTTTATTTTTATCTCTGTATATTTTATTTTTAAGAAAACTTTATATAACAATAGGTTTCCGCTGTAGCACCAGGGGGCTGCTCAGGGCGTAGCCTGTGTGGTTAAATACTGACCGACTGTTTCCCCCTGCACCTTGGGGAGAGGAGGCTGACTGTGGGCTTGGTGAGTTGTTGTTGGTTTTTTTTTTGTTTTTTTTTTTTTTTCAGATTTCTCATGCATTTGGAGAGTACGTATCTGGGTTTTCCCTGTTGGCTTAAATGTTTCTGAGCTGAGACGATATTACAAATATTTAACAGGGGGTAAGACATAAATATTAACATATCAGAATAGACAAAACTGCCACACCTGTATCAACAGGTAGCTGAGAAGTCTCATTCTAAGGGTTCCTTCTAAAAGCCTGATAGGAAAACTATAATGGGCATCCTCGGGCAGGGAATTGGGGGCAACTGTCACTTTGTGACTTGGGGAAAAAATTTGTGATTTTCGTACTCTTCCGGTAGAAGACCTAAGATCTTAGATCTTAGAGAGTCCCTGGAAATGCTGCCTAACATCTGGCATCGTGAGGAATCCCATCATCTCTTCCACGGACAATATTTCCCTCGTTATAAACGGCCTGATTCTCTTGGAACTCTTCGACACTAAGTTCCAACCAAGAAGTAAAATGTCATTTTCTCTAATGCTACTTCAGAGAGTCCCTAGAACTCACAGGCCAGGATATAATTTTCTTCTAGAGAACCGGTTGGCTTCTTGGTAGCAGGTATTTTAGTTATGCATACATTTCTATGTAAAAATAATGACATTCTCACCCTATACCCAAACTGGAAATGAAACCCACCTTCAGTTTCTCAGGAGTGAAAGCGTTACACATAGTATAGTTGGACCAGGTTCGATTGTTCTCAGGATGCTTATACCACTCCCCATTCTCATCACAGTATTTTGTAACCTTTTCTGTTAATGAAACATAACAGTAATTATATTGCAATCTTAAAACACCAAGAAGGAAAAAGAAGGCTTACAAGCCATTTCACAGCATTAATCACTTTATAGAACTTGAATGTGAACATAGGTCAAAGGAGACTACCATGAATCATGCATTTTACAAGCTGTTTTAGTACGTGTTGTCTCGTTTTATCTTCAGCAAAGCCAAGTAAAGCAGAGGTTGCTATCTCCGCTTTACAAACAGGAAACAGAGTGAGAGAGGTTATAGAGTCTGAAGTCACCAGAGAGTGGGTCAGCTGGGATCTAATCTCAGGACTATCGCATTCAGAAGTGCTACCTATACTGTACCTCATATTTTTTAACAAATCCTACATTTCTGATTTTAGATAGGAACTATGTGAGACTGGCAAGACCATACTTTTCTTCATTTATATGCTTAATGTAAATTTGTTAGAAAGTTACATAGAAGAATTTTAAATTGTGAATTTGCTGAGACAGTCATCAGACAAAAACTATTTAAAGAATCACCATTGGACCACAACAATATTTCAGAAAGGGTTAGGACTAATCAGCATAGAAAAACTGATATTGACAACTGGTCCATGGTTTTGCTAATGCTATTTGTCAATGATGACCATTCCAAGCTTATTTGCAATTTTAAAAAAAGTGGCTTGTAATGAAGCATTTTATCTTTATTGTATTGTCAGAAAGTAGCTTACTATTTTATCAAAAGGAAATAAATTCTGACAAAGCTATTTAGCTAGAAAAGGCAAATTCTATGGAGGAGGGTGGGATGTTCCTCCTGAAAAATCTGTTCCAATCATGGACAAGACTGTAGGAGATATTATTTTGTTCTGATGTCACCAAAGTCTGGGTCTAGGCATTTCCTGGTTCTACCTATTGCAGCTATAAGAACTTGTCCTTTTCCACCTGGCAAATCTTTAAGTATTTGAAGAAAGGATATGTCTACTCTAACTTCCTTTTCCAAACCAAACATCCCCATTTACTCACAATACACAGCTTGGTGTCCCTTCACTGCCAGGAGCCACTCGGCATGTGCTCGATATTGGTATTTCCCTCTGAAATACTCTGTTTGGACTGCCCCATGAAGAGGACAGCATGCTCATTTCACTCCAGATCCACAACAGGGAGCTTTTTACAGATTCTCAGGCCCAATCCCCAGAGATTCAAATTTGCTTATCTGAAGAGGTAACCAGGCATCAGCATTTTAAAAAAGCTCACCAATTCCGAAAGGTATCAAGGTTGAGAATCATGGTCCTAAACTGTATATTGACCTTCTTGCCTCTTTGCCATTAACATTGATTGAGTGTTTGACATTAAGGGCAGCGCCTTAAGCATATCCTTGTTAAATGTGCTTTTTACATTCTAGCATATTCCTATAGGCTACCAGCCTCTTTTGAATTTCAGTGCTGTTATTCACTCTATCACGACCTGTCTTTTACCAAACACTTCATCTTAAAATGAAATCTCTGTTATTTCATTAAACTGTTTTGTTTATTATTAAAATATAGCCTTGGGTCAATGGTAAAATCCTAACGAATTTAAGTGTCTTGGATATACATATTTTTAAGATTTTTTTTTCTTTTGAAGTGGATTTTTCCCCCACTTGAGAGGGTTCTTTCTAAAAACCAGGCTGATAAGATGGATCTATGCCTGGAAGTCCCTGTTTTGCTGACCAAAAACTTGCCTTTTAGTCAATAATTATAGCCACTTTGGCAAGAGCCCATTGCTGCTCTGTAACGGCCTTATAGCCTCTATTACAGAAAAGCTCTTTATGCCAATCAAGTTATCTCTAATGTAGTTGTCAAGTCCAGATGAATGAAGCATCATTTATTGGGAAGAGTCAGTAAAAGCCAGAAAGATGATCATCAAACAGCACTGAGTTGGAGTTTACAGGAAAGTAGTGCTGAGGAGGGCAGGGCACTCAGCCTTTCCTCTTTGCACAATGAAAATTTTCAGAGGTGGCTGGCTTGAATTGGTCTTTAAAGTAGTCCCCTGTAATCTCATTTTCATTATCTCTGTCTTACTGGGGTAGAATTTCAGATCTCATCCTTGTTGGAAGTGCCAAAGCATTTCTTAAACACTGACACAGGGATAGATTAATTTCTCTGCTCTAATCTGGATTCTGGAAACTTTCTTGCCTAGATTTTACCATTTGACGATTGTTTTCTATCTTAACTGAAATTCTCACTTTTGTAACCTCTTGTCATTCATACTCAGTGAGCAATGGTACACAGATGGATGGACTGGTTGACCATGAAAGGTGGTAGAAACTCTGACCAAGCAACTTGTGGAAAAATCTGAAAGTCAGGGTTGTTTTTTCCTAGTCTCTTACACGTGAAACAAACACTGATTCCTCTCTTCAAAATGCTATTTCTAGTTCAGACCAGATAATTCAGTAAAGATCCTTCTTGTCAGGATCTTCCCTTCCACTGACTGAATGTTCCTCTTCCATGGAACCACTTCCAAAAGGATACTGAAGGAAGGAGGAAAATGAGCACCGTGAAGTGTGGAGGGCTCACTGTGTTCTATATTACATCTTGTGAGAAGAGGTCTGGAGCTTGAGGTAGAATGACCTGCTCCCCAGGGGCCCCCGCCAGCCGGTTCATCGTGTGGGGCAGCTTAAATACACTCTGCAGCCTCAGGCTCACTTGACTCTTCGCCGCAAACCTCGCCTGTTAACTGGGGCTTAGCGCTGTGCCTGTAGCTCCCATTCATCATGGGGGTCTCTTTTATAACTAAGATATATACTCCCTTTTCAGTCTCTTAATCTCGGTTAATCCTTCAATGGGAAGGATCTACCTAGTTTCTCGGAACAAAGTTTTTCTGGCCCCAACACCGCTAGTCCCTGAAGCGTGCTGGCTACTGCTTTTTACCCCCCTGGGACCCGCCTTCCTCCATTGTCTGTATCAGTCTCATCTGATGCCGCTGGTACAGCTACTCAGTGTACTGGCTGAACTTTGCAGGCATCCGCCTCTTTTCTTTATTTCTTTTTCTTTCTTTTCTTTTCTTAACACACTTTCATCTTGACTGCATGTTTCATCATAAGCAGAACTTTAAGAGATCCTCATGTCCAGGTTATACTCCAAACTAATTAATTCAGAATGTCCGGGGTGATACCAGGCATCAGGATTTTGATAAGTTTTCAAGGTTCTTAGCCAAGTCGAGCATCACTCACCACCAGCCCCTATCCAAATCCATTTCCGGTCCTTCACATGTCTATTCTCTGGCCTGAGGCTGTAAGACAAATTCAGATATCTCTTTCCACATTCTTTGCGTTGCTCCTGACCACTAACCACTGAGCATCATGGATTCCAGACCTTGAATCTATCCGGATAGCTGACGTTTCTGAGATATGTTGCATCAGCCCCCCTAGCTTCTTCCTTACTCCACTTGGTGGGTACCCCTAGACTCTCATCCTCTCTATGTATCCTGATTCCATTTCCAATTATACCAGTGTGGCTGGATGAAGGCCTGAAGGAAAAACATGTCTTCCTTAGGAAATTAACTTTTTTTTTTTAAGTATTCAAAGTACTTTTAATCTGCATGAGTGAGTGTGCATGGGGAATTAGAAATACTGTTTCTCAAATGCTTTTCCAAAGCTGTTGTACTGACTTATAAAGAGAGGGTTAGGTAGGGGTCAGGAGACTTGGTTCACTTGCAATTTTGTGTCAAATATTGTGTGAGTATATACATTTAGATAATATACATGAAATTGTTTTGAAAAGTAAAAAATGATACTCAATGAGAAGTATTCCTATGTTACTTTTATAACTAAAATGAATTTGGTGTCACTTATTTATTTAACACACATTTGTTGACCACTCACGTTGTGCAGGGCCGGGAGGGGGATGTTAGTATGATCCATTCATTTTATCATTAGTTTTATTTACTGAACATATATTAATTATCTACTGTTGGAACAGAAATCTAGCAAGTGTCTAGAGTTACTATCTTCTGATTTCTTTTCCTTTACACATGACAGTTTTATATAACTTCCAGTGTTACATAAAATTTCCGTTGTGTGTGCTCTACCAGTCTCATATACAGAAAGTCTAGATCAAGTATTTGTATAAGTCACCAAACGTGCAACAGCTGAAAACTGAATAACAACCACCTTTAAATAAAACTTCAAGGTTAAAAAATTAATTTAAAATTTTATTAAAATTTAAAATTAAATATTTGAAATATATAAAAATCTAACTTTCATTTAGAATTGGAGACCCATGTGCACATTGGACCAGTAACGTGACCTAAAAAATAAGGAGAGCTTGAAATACTTGTATAACTGGGTGATATTTCACATGAAGAAAGGCTTCAGAAAGTACAACTGGGTGATATTTCATGTGAAGAAAGGCTTCAGAAAGTGCTGAAACATGTAGAGTATGATTAGATAGGTATCTTTTACATCTGATTTTCTTTTCAGAACCATGAAAATTCTAAAGGCTTTATAGCAAAATATGAAATATTTTACCTGTTGGGTCAAAGTCTGGAAAGTAATCTGGGCAGTACTGATGGGACAATACTCCAGCCGGTGTATCATCCCAACACAGCCATCCATCCCATGTACGGTTGCAATACGGACCTGATGATTAAGAAAGAAATTAATATTGACGTTGGAAAAAGTTGCAGAATCATCAACAGGACTTAACAGTGTTCGATAGGATCTAGCCATTTAATAGTTATTCTGGAGCTCTCTATGTGCATATGGAAATATTAGAAAGAACAGCAGCAGCAACAAAATAAAGATATTAACTTTACCAACTCTTAATCGAATTTACATTTTTATAAGTTTTCTCCCATTTGCTCTTCAAAAGACATGCATGTCATCTGTATGGAATCTTTCCTCCAAAATATTTCCTTTAAAATATCTTTAGAGGGGCGCCTGGGTGGCTCAGTGGGCTAAAGCCTCTGCCTTCGGCTCAGGTCATGATCTCAGGGTCCTGGGATCAAACCCTACATCAGAATCTCTGCTCAGCGGGGAGCCTGCTTCCATTCCTCTCTCTGCCTGCCTCTCTGCCTGCTTGTGGTCTCTGTCAAATAAATGAATAAAATCTTTAAAAAAAAGAAAATATCTTCAGAAATGCTGCAAAGAAATCTTGCGAAAGTATATGCAATATCACCTCTGGATAAGAGGCTTAATTTGAAAAAATTCTATGGCTTTAGAACATACAGATCTTCCTAAACATTAACTTAAAATTGGTTGCCTTGGATGGCTCTATTCATAATTTTTTTTAAAGATCTATTTATTTTCTTGAGAGAGAGAGCAAGAGAGTACACACAAGAGCAGGGGAGGAGCAGAGGGAGAAGGCAAGAGAAAATCCTCAGACTCCCCGCTGAGTACAGAGTCTGACTCAGGGCTTAATCCCACAACCCTGAGATCATGACCTGAGCAGAAATCAGGAGTCAGATGCTTAACAGACTGAGCCACCCAGACATGCCTTGGATAATTCTATTCTTAATCCAAGGGTTTAAAATTCAATTGTTGAAAATTCCTATTGGAGTTGCATTTGTAGACAGTTAACAGGTTACGTATAAAACTAGTCTTATTATTTTAGAATCACACTTTATTAGTGACTAAAGTAATGCTCAGTTTGAGCAGTTTATGTATTTATCAGCTTTGGCTCCAAGTAGTTTCTCACTCCTTTCAAAATTTAATCTACCCTAACACGTGAAGATTTGCCTCTATAAAGCTATTCAAAAGAATAAGACTCAGTCGGCCTTTGAAGTCAGTTCTTAGAAAGAGAGAGAGAGAAAGAAAGGAAGGAAAGAAGGAAGGAAAGAAGGAAGAAAGGAAGAAAGTGGATGGAAGGAAGGAGGACGGATAAGAAAGAAAGAGAGGGAGACAGATGGGGACGGAGGGAAGGAAGGTGGCAGGGAGGGAGGGAGGGAGGAGAAAGAAAGAATAGAAAAGAAAAAAGCAAAAAGATTAAAAAGAAAAGAAAAAAGAAATCTCAATATAATGATCATAGTATGAAAGTTCACCCTCCCAAAATGATTATGACTGAAGTGAAGGAGCCTGCTCTCGCTTGGTCTCTGAAAATAAATTTCGTGTTTCTATTGTTTCATTTGTTTCAGAGGAATGGTTTGTCTTTGGGCAGAGCCACATCTAATAACTTTTCAGGTTCTTAAAAAACATTAAAACTATGCAGACGGAAGAATAACATGTATCTGTCTTTTAATTGTCTTGAGTTTTGTTTAAAGGAAAATGCTAAAAATAGGAACTAGAAATTAAAACTTTTAACTATTTGAAGACAAACCACACGTAGAAATAGAATATACTTAAAAAATATTCCCCCTACCAAGTGGTGTTATCTTAGAATATACAAGGGTACACATGGTCTTGTTGGGACTTTTCAAATGCTTTAGGGGACAGGGGAGAGAACTGGATGTAGTAATGTTTGGCAATCGCATAGCCTTCTATAGCTAATAGAATGAGCTTGGTTCTGAAAATATTTGAACAGTCCCACAGAGCATTCTAGAGAAGGTGATAGATAAACAATGCCTGCCTAGGAGACAGATTTTACTAGGTCCTCTGAGAACTGGGGGTGGAAAAGAGAAAGGAATAGCCAGAGTTGCCAACCCATTGATAGTTAAGGGAAGATACTGCCTCATTAACCCAAGCAAGACAGGGTTTTGACAGGATTGACCTGAGGCTAATTCTCTGCCCAATATTTTCCACTTCCCTTCCTGTCATTTTCCAGTTCCTCTCCATCACTTAGCCCTGTATTGTTCCTCCTTGCCAGGTGTGAATACTGAGTTATTGTAGTAATTTTGTCATCAGTGCTGCTGTTAGCCCAAAACCAGTTGGGTGAGCCTGGGCAAAGAAAGTAGACATGTCTCCAACATGAAATACACAAATATACCATAATTTGAAAACCACTGTTAAAAATGCTGGCATATTAAAATTAGTCAAAACATACTTATCCATGGAAGAAAATGAGCCTTTAATGATGCTTGAAAACATATTTGCGGACATCCATCTTCTTACCTTCTCCTTGGTATGGGGGTAACTGCTGCATGCGGTCATAGCATTTGTACTGCGCATCCGACATTTTCTTTCGTCCTAGGACGTACAGAAATGGCTCGGACTTCATATTGGGAGGATAGGTGTTATTCGAATTGGCAGGAAGAATTGGGGTTGGGTGCTGTATTTAAAAAAAAAAACATTGGTTACTTATACAGAGTGGGAATGGGTGTATACAAAAATAAATGAAACAATCAAAAAGTTTGAAAACATTTTCCTTCATGAGTAACAATTACGAATAGTCTCCACATAGGATATTTTTCTTCATAACTAAAAAGTGTATTTATATTTCATCTACAAATTCCACCTACAAATTTCATATTTGTATTTGTTCCATTCACTGATAAAAATGTATAGCACCCACCCAAACTCATGCACCTCTTTATCATATAAGATTGTTTTAGTTTTATTATCACTGTAAAGTTTAGAAGTAAACAAAACAAATAACCTGATTTCCAAAAAATACTAACATTAAATCAATTTTGCCTTCTTTGGAACTTCTAATAATCATGAGTCATAGTATTAAAAATAGATATATTACTGCAATAAATAAGCTTTTATATTAGATTATTTTAGCTTTTTAAAAATTTGTGCTTAGAATATGTACACTGCCAAAAATTCACCCCAGTTATTCCACAGAACAAACAAAATCTGTTCTTCTGAGATATTCTACGTTTGATGCTTGGCCTCAATATCTTTGATTTGGTTTCATCAGCAGATGACTTACACAAGGTATTTATTCTCACTGCTGAAAACCAACGTAAATCTTAAATATTTCTCCTAGTGCTTCTGCTCTTTTGGTTCAGGTGGACAAGGGTCACGATTACCATCTAACACATCATCCCAAGCTGTGTTTATATAGAGTTCAATCTCTTTTGTGGCCATGATGTTTTTGGTGGTGCCTGAATCTGTGATTTTCTATATCCGTGTTCCGCATAGAGACTTTTTTCAGAGAAGACTGCAAGCTTCAGCCCGCACTGACTTTTCTTCTTCTAAAGTTAGGAATACTCCTTGCTCTCTTTCTATCACACCTGTTAAACACCCTGTTTATTTGGGCTTATTCTGTCTAAATTATTCTAAGATTAAAGTTTCCCCAAACGTACCGATGGCAGAAATAGCGTTGGGTATTTTTTTTTTTTTTTTTAATCCTCACAGTCTCTAAAACAAACTCGTTTTTATTAAGTTGAGCTGTATAGGTCAGGCGACTCATAGGAGAACCACACTGTTTTCCAGTGTGTGTCATTGTGAAGACGGGCATCCTATCCTATAACATAGCGTGGCACTAAATGCTAAACTATACAGTGCATGATACAACAACGACTCAGAACAGACAGAAGGCAGAGAGCAAGAACAGTCAGGGATGACTACAGATAACAAGGGAGAATTTGAATTGGACTTTGAGTGCCTGCCCAGGCCGAGGAGAGGGAAAGCTTTCTGGATGGAGGGAAAGGAACGCGTCTAAGTCCCAGAGGTAGGAAATGACATGCGTGAGACACTGCAAGGAAACCATTCTTCCTGGAGGGGAGCATCTTTGGGGGTGAGTAATAAATGGAGTCAAGGAAAATCAGGTAATACAGAGCCCTAAGAAAATAAATACAAAGTGCATGGTGCAATGAAAGATTCAATACATTTTAGCTAATGTTACTACAACATGACAATAAAGTAAAGATCTCATGCCAGTTTTTGATCAGTGAAGGTTGCGAAAGGAAAGTGTTAGTAAAATTCATGTGGTGGGCATCAGATGTCCACAGATCAGAGCTGGGGAGGGAGCCAGGAAGCCCAAGGCATGGACTGGATCACAGCAGGAGGGAGCAGGGAAGCACAGCCCTCAGCATTTTCTCAAATAATAAAAAGATATATTTGAATATAAGGAAATACAAGGAAAGGAGGACAGTAATAGTCTGATAGCTCTGATATTTTAACCTATATAATGGAAAAAATGGGAGTGCCCTGAGAAGGGAGAAGTTGGGCAAAGAAAACCTTAGAGGGGGAAGAAGGTAAGTTCTCTCTTGTACTTGTTTTGAAGGTGCCAGCAAGCCATCTAAGCAGAAATTGCTTGCCAACAGAAGAGGTTCTGAATACTTGATACTTCTAACTCTAGATGGACACTTACTGTGAGTATGGCTGATACTACTTTTTAAATAATAGGATTATTTCTAATTTTAATGCCTCTTGAGTGTATGACAATGAAAAGAGAAATTAATATACTGACAGAAATTATTTAAAAATGTACAGATCCTTTACCAATGTAGTTGAACATCATTGTGCTGTCATATGACCCTTTCTTTCTTATTTTAAGACCAACCAATTGGCAAATAGTCATTGTTTGCTAGGAAGTCAAGCATTATGCTAGAAACTGAGGATACAGTAATGGATAAAACAAGCATAGATCCTGCCCTCGTGGAGCTTACAGACTAGCAAGAAAGACCAACATCATAAAATATTTTCAGACACCAGAAATTGTGACGGTAAAGAATCATCAATCACTGAATGCTCAGAAATTCCTTCAGGAATTGGAATGTGTTTTGGGGGTAACAAAGACATATTTTGAAGAGATTTCATGTTAAGACTTCATTTTGGATTGTATGAACCTACATTTGTATGAACACATGTGTCTCTGCATGTTTTAATAATCTCACTAGAGATCACCATAACCATGGTCTTTAATAGATCATTGTGTTCCTCACAATAAGAGATATTAATTACACGTTAACCTTGGGCATCTATTTTACATTTTTTGTGCCTCTATTCTTAGAATCTTTCATTGACATGAGAATTATCATTTCATATATTACTTATTTATGGGCCATCTTTCTCACATATTCAAATCACATTAGAAGATGGAATGTGATGTCATATATAAATATTTATATTTTAGATATTAGGGACTATTTTGTTTAAGTTTGGCATTCTTTCCAGAAGTAACATTCTGAATTATATCTTTAAATGGACTGGGCAACCAGTTAAGAAATGTTCCTGGAAACCATGGGGGGGGGGCATTAGGTACAAAGATATCAAGAGGAAAACCCTGTACTTGTAGTTTCAATTACAGCATTATTTGTTCTAATGCAGTTTCAATACCAGTAACAGTATAGATATGACCATCTGAAAGAGCAGGTGTTGTTCATGTGGATGATAGTAGCATCAATCTTACCATTCTTGCAATATTGAAACAAACTCCAGTGAACTTGGTTTGGAGCCTGGTTCCATAGAGATTGTTTCAACACTGAAGGAATGAGAAATTAGAACTCCTGTTGTAGATAAGCCATAGTGGTCTGAGTCTGCTCCTTGTCTGGTTTGTGTGTGAGCTTGATGATGGAATTTTTCCAGTGGTAACTGAATGTTTCAGTGATTTTTTTCTGAAAATAACGTACACATTGAGGAATTCTGTCTATGTAGGTGGACATAGACAGATAATTCTTTTAATATATACATAAAATTCCAAAAATGGAATTACTACTGCTTGGCAATAATACATATACAAATTTCATAAAGTTCATTGGACATACACACTTTTTGCTGACAATTTTGTACCAATAAAAATGGCTAGGGAGGTGGTAGAGTTTTCAGCAATATAGAGGCAAAATAGAAGCATAGTGAGTAGATAAGACCACCAAGCAATGTGAAAGACTTAAAAAAAATTTTACCTATCATAAGTATTACATTTATGTTATATATTTGGGGTGTACATAAATATTTTGTGCTCACGTGAGGATAGAGATGAGATATTAAGGGCACATTGCTTTTGTGGATAAAGATTGGTGCTCAAAGCTTTGCATACATCTTACATGATTTTTCCAAAGCAAAACAAAAAACAACCTCTTAATTGTTGTCCCGTGTAGCAGTTTAGCCGCCGTATATGTGATGTCACTTCTAAAGGTGCAAGCAAATGGCGCCACAAATACGACTGCCAAGCTGCCACCAATACCTGTAGTCCTCAGCCGAAACACCGCTGGTTCTTTCGGGTAATAAATACTCTGCTTCCCACATGCCGGGTACTGTTCTAGGTGCTGGAGACTCAGCAGTGAAGAAGACTAGCCAGGTCCCTGCCCTCATGGGGCTTACATTCTAGGTTTCGTGCACACTCGCGTGGAGTTTAGTGGAAAGCAATCTGGTTTGAATGGTCATGGAGTCAAGGAATTCCTACTTTGATGTAAGACAACCAGCCTACTTTTGGGTTACAGGTGGTTTCTAGAAGCACAGAGACAAAAATAATTACAGGACTGTTCTGTGTAAAACTTTAAGAAACGGTCCATCTCTTCAGTGGTTTAAACCTAATGAATGTGGGAACCCATGCAATGGTGCTAGCATAGGGAAAGATTCCTAATGATTGTCAGAGACAGAACTACTCTAAAAGGAACATGATTCTAGAATCCACAAACTGATAGAACCAACAGGATTCCAATGTCACCATCCTTAATACTGACAATGTAGATGTTAGGATTTTATTTGTAGGTTTAAGTTACTTACACTGTTCAAAATAACAATGGATAAAACAGAACTTTGTAAAGTATTAGCCCTGGTTTTTCCAGGTAGCATCAGATGGTTGGTGTCCTATGTACTTTCTATGTAAGCATTATATAAACAACAAAACTGCTGCATAATGATAAATTCTAAGCAAATAAGGGAATGCAGCTTAGTTAACAACAGAATGCTTCTCCAAAGAATCTAGTTTTTCTATATCCTCATCATCGTTGTTATAATTATCATCATCACTACATTTTTGAGGCTCAATATATGTCAAGCACTGTCCTAAGTCTATTTACTGCATTACTATAGGTGAGGGAGAGGAAGTGAGGGGATGTTTTGCTTAATGTAAACTTAGGCTCATGGAATGTGGTAACAAACTGATACTTTAAAGAGCATTTGGAAATCAGGTTGGTAGAATTCAACAGACACACTCATAGTGGTTTTTCAAACCAATGTACTTAAGAAACAATATTTTATAGTGATTTAAATCAATATCACTTTATTAAAAAATTTAATTTTCTTGGAGGAGTATCCATTGTGGAACACAATGAATGTTTTAGGAGGAAACCAACATATCAAAAATTTTTTATGGAGGAATTCTCCAAATCAAATATATGAACCAAATATAGGATAAAGAAGCAAATTTCTCTGTCACAGCAGAGAGCACAAAATCACTCAGGTACCCTGTGCAGCATGTTTGCTAGCAAAGAGATGCTCACAAACCAGAAAACTTTTCTGTCCATGGCTCAAATATGTGAAATTCTTTTAATGTCTGAATTTTAAGATATATTGGGTAAAAGTTTTGAATAACATATCAGAAATGATCTCTCATCTTTGCAGTAGTATTCAAACTATCTTATTCGTATCGAGTAAGTTACTTTAGTAAATAGTAACTACTTTTCTTCTGTCACTGTCAAATATAATTATATGGTTTATGAAATAAAATTATTTAGAAATATTTACATGTAATTGATCACAAGGGTTTAATTTAAGCTCTAAAAATAATAATATCAATTATGAATTGGCATATACCACTATTTCTGCAACTGTAGAATCTCATATAAGTCATGGGCATTTAGAGACAAAATTAAATATGCTACTAGTTCCTACAATATTCTTGTTTAAGTGTTTTTATTACATTTACAATGACATGAAGTTACTTGCATTTCCAAATACTGGATTACTTTTAGCAAATTATACTGTATTTTATCTAAAGATTAAAATAATACAACAATATTACATAATAAAATAGACTATACTCATTATCCAAGTAGATACAAAAGGGCCACATTAACAATCATACCCATAAACCATTTATTTAATGTGTAACATTACAAAATAAAAATTCCCTTAAAAATGAGATGAACATTTTAGGAATATTAGTACTTTTCCCTGAAAATGTTAAGAGAAATAGTTTATGCAAACTTTTAAGCCTATTACTACTCATGAATTAAAAATGTAGGTCCTGGAACCCTGGGAAAGTTTTGTTTAGGTGACTATAATAATATCAGGTACTGACTGATTTTTATTGCCTCTATGATTCATTGGTCACTGTTGTTCTGATGTGCTAGAAAGGATAAGGATCAAGACAACTCCTAATTTATTTATGTAAAATTTACTCATCTCTCTTTCATGTGTGTTGTGGAAGCTGATATGATGGTGGGTTAGTGAAGTCAACACAAATAAACAGACAGGCCCTGGTAGCATTTTCTAAGATAATTGCAGTTCTGACTACTTGCTAACCATTTAGGAATAAAACAATATAAAAGCTCATAAATTGGACATGACTTAAAAGGTTAGAGAAAGAGTTATGAAATGACATTGGTCTGTTAAGACTTAAGATTCTTAGTTTTTTTTGAGGGATGCATTTAAAATTAATAACCTGACTGAAAGTGTTCAGATGTTTGAAAAAGACAGGAGCCTAGAAACTGTGTTTCAAATCCACCTGTCTAACATGAAAAATGTTTTACCCAAGAACATTATTAACCTTTCATGTTTAATTCCAAGATAATGTGGGTATGTCTCAAGTTAATGCTAAAGTTTTGTAAACAGAGCTCACATTTCTCAGTGAACCATAACACTAATCTAAATCGTGAAAATTCAGAGGGGGGATCTGTTAACAAAATATCAAGAAAAGGATAGTTTTGAGGAACTTATGGCTGGTGGAACTTAGTTTTGGCAAGATGTCTACCCTTCCAAATGTCCATTCAATCATACGCTCTATTTCAGCATTCTTGATTAATGTAGCTTAAAAATGATGTTTTACTTACGTTTAGAAAAATGAAGAGTACCAAGCACCGGCGTGTGAATGTGAACTTCATTTTTGGTTTTTGAAGATGGTCGTCCAAATCCTAGAAAAATATACATGTAACAAAGACATTTACATTAATAAATACAGCTTTAATCTTGACTAGAGTTAATTTCTTTTTCTTGTCTTTCTATTTCACTTGGAGAGGATCATGTCCCAAGACACTCTACATAAAATTCATGTATGTAAGCAATATGCTGGGGATGCAAATATAGTCGCATGTTCCACGCCCCTTCCTTCCAGCCAGGAAGGACTGGTGTCTGGTCGTTGTCAAAAGTCCTATTAAGAAATTCCGGAGCCACCTTTACATATCAGGACCAAAATAAAGGATTCGGAGAAATCAAGAGCAGCCAATGTGGAATTCAGTTAATCCGTGGCATCAGTAAAACTGCTGAAAATTTCAGTGGAAACATCCACAAAGAAATCATTTCACTGGACGGGAAGAAATACGACCTAACGATTTATAAAGGATCATTAGTCATCCCTGTAGGTAATTGAAGGCCAACTTTGACTTGAGTAGTCTTATTTAGAGCCTTGAGCATTTTTCTTTCCTACAAAATTTTCTACAAGCTTCAAGTTGCTACTAAGAATGAATTTCTTCAATAGCAAGGATTGACTATGTCACCTAACAGGTCACCATTCCTTCTCACAAGCATGTAAGAGAAACATGTGGCTGTGTCACAAATAACAATTTTTCGTGACTGTGCAGATAATTTTACACAAGGAAAGGTAATAAAAAAGCAAAAAATTAAATATGTATATATATATATTTTTTTCATCAGTGAGATTTGTGTGAAACTGTATTTCACCTAAGGGTGAGTGGTTATGACTGCATCATATGTCTTATACTTTCTCCTAGGTCTAAATTAGTATCTATATTGTTTGCCTGATTTACTAGCTCCCAAATGAGTAAGTTGTATTCCATTTATATATCAGTACTATGGGAAGAGAAAATGAAGAAGAAATTAAAGTTTTCTCCCAGTTTTCTAGCCCGGGTACAAGGATGGATAGTGAAGGAATTCAAGAAGGGAAGTAGGGGAAAGAGAAGGAGATTTTAATTTGTCTTCTCCCTCAATGGAAAATGCTACCTGAGTATTGGATGAGTCTTATTCTGGGGTGAAAGGTAGGACTTTTGGAATGTATTATGGGGAAAAAAAAGAAATGTATTATGGGTACTCAAGAAATTAACACAGCTTCCCTTAACTAGATCCTGCTTTTTTAGAAGGAAATTATATACATACATTGAATTTCTAAAGGTCTGATGCTTATGGTGGTCCTATGATTTAGCCTCTGAGAGAAGCAGGATGTGTGGAACATTCTGGGTGCCAGAATTAAAAGCCAGATCTCTTCTTCAGATGAAAGTCCTACTCATTAATTCCAAATGTGAGGGCTAAGCACAGTGAGAAGTCAGCTTCTCTTTGAAGGTGAATATGGGGTGATTAGGCAGTTAATTGGCTTGTTCTATCTATGTCATATATTTGATGTCATTTGACATTTTATAAAGTTTAAGTTGCTAGGTTTTGGCTCAACAGTATTGTTACCATGAGGAGCATTAGAGGTTGTGGGAGAATTGTCCCCTTGAGGGTGAGTGAGGCCTCACAGTCATTTTGCTATAGGAAAGGGAAGCCCCATGGTTTCATAGCCCCACACACTGCTTTTATGATTGTACCATGAACAACTAAGGGGAATGAAAAGAGTATGGACATGGATCTCAGTGAACATTTAGAAATGACAGAGTGGTTTAGTCAAAAAACAGAGTCCTTTCCTTTTTCCTATTAAGTGGAGAGGTCTATAACTTTAAATACTCTTGCCTTATTTTGAACTATAACAAATTTCTCACGTGCAACTTTATAGCAGATCTGGGCTATACTGAACCTGCCTCTAGTCAGAAAGGTTCAGTCGTAATTCTCCCAGGTTAAACAGTACTTTGCAGATATGCCTCTCTTTGAGAGAAGTATTTCATGGTGATCTGAGAAGAGGAGAAGGAGAACATGGAAGTAGAAATAGTGAATAAAGACAGGGCTTTATGAATTTAAGGGAGAAAAACATGGCAAAGAAAAGTAGAATCAGAATGGAGAATGAAGGGGTGCCTGGGTGGCTCAGTGGGTTAAAGCCTCTGCCTTTGGCTCCGGTCATGGTCCCGGGGTCCTGGGATCAAGCCCCGTGTTGGGTTTTCTGTTCTGCTGGGAGCCTGCTTCCTCCTCTCTCTCTCTCTGCCTGCCTCTCTGCCTACTTGTGATCTCTGCTGTCAAATAAATAAATAAAATCTTAAAAAAAAAAAGAATGGAGAATGAAGTAATTCACCTTCACTAAGATTCTTTCAAGGAAAGAGGGAAAAAAAAGATGAAGTTAAAAAGAATGACAGACATGGAGAACCCAAACAAACTAACAGAGACCTATAGCTTAGTTGAATGGATGATTAAAGAATGGATAGATCATAGTGTGGACTCTCAGGAAAGACTAACCTGGAAAGACTAACCTGAAATTTCCAATAGGTAGGGTTCAGAATTCAGTGACTCTGAAGAGAACTGTTTTAACCTAAGGCTTAGAGAGTTAAACCTGCACCCAAACAGGAAAGGACAAAGTCGGGCAAACAGCGGCTAATGGAGGTAAAAATGAAACTTGGAAATGTTCGATTTGGAATTGGTACTGGTGAGACAGGTAGCCTATGATCAGACAGTCATCTGGAATCCTGGAAAATGACTCAGAGAAACCAGAACAAAGCTTAACTTTGACATTAGATGATTTATTTGTTTACTTCCTGATGTTTTCCCAATTCCTTCTCTACAGGAAGGACTTTATTCAGTTTTGTCACCCAAGAATCTAGAAAGAAATCTGGAACACATTAAGTGCTCGGTGAATGTTGGTTGCTTAGTTTAAGGGGTGATGTAGGGTCAGAATTTGGTAAGACAGCAAACATTATTCTTTTCCCAAAGAGGCCTAATTGTAGAGCCAAGAGATTCTAATTTCTACTTTTACTTTTATGATTTCTTTTATTTTGGACAAGGAGCTTCACCTCTATGCCACTTCCCTGTCTTTATAAAGACTCCTTGGCCAATCCTCCTTGACTAAAAGAACACACTTCCATATGTGAAGCATATTGATTCCCCTGGATCTGTCCAGCAGTCTAATTACTTAGTGCAGTTGTTTCTAAGATGTATTTTAGGCACCCTTTAAAAAAAAAGATAAAAGCTTTTATGGAAGCCCCATATAGAAACCAGATGAAGGTAGAGTCTAAAAACTTGATTGTGGAGTTTGATACAGAACATGGAAATGAAATAACCTTGGACAGTGGTTCAGCTACTGGGTAGTACAACAGAATCTGCCCTGGTTTGAATCCACAAATGAGCACTCATCACTAATCTCCTCCCCAGCAAATTGTATTCCTTTGTTGCAGGGGTGAGATGGTCAGTGGAAACCACTTCTATTAATACACCCAGTCTAAATCACTAATTCAATGATGATGATTGAATAGAATAATCTTCATTTAAGGAGAACAAATTTCCTTGACATGTAAAGTTACATTGTTTTTATTTATTTATTTTTTGTGGAAAGAATATGAAATGTCAAAGTCTGAAAATAATGTGTCTATTCTCATAGATCAGCATTTCCAAAAGTGTATTCCATAGAATAGCAGTAATCCCATGAGAAGCAGCATAAAATAAAGTTTCCATGGCCAGAAATGTTTAGGAAATTAAGCATTTCCTATATTCTTCTTAGAGATCTACCATAGACATTAGCACATTAAAGTAGCTAATTTTCCTGTACCAAAACCACTAGTTTGACTTCATTGTCTTCATTCTCCAAACCTGTTTGACGATGAAAAAAAAACTTTTTTTTGCAATCACAGTTATTAACCCATCTACAGAATATACTTTGGAAAATGCTCTTTTGGCTCGATAGCAATTTCTAACCCACCATAGACTATTAAGTTTGCAAGTCATGAGAAAGAGCTGCCCTTTTACTTAAAAATTTCTTTTTTCTTCTCCATGGAGCAAAAGTGGAATTTCTGAGGTCTTAAATATTCCCCAGCCTTGGTACAAAGCCCAAAGCTATAAAAGGCATCTCAGAGGCAATTGCTCCTTTGGAGCATTATTCGTTAAGATCCTCTCCCCTAATACCCTGGCTATGAGAACAGGAGTGGGATGAGGGTATGGGCAAAGAGCAGAAAGGAGAAGAAACAGGCACTGCTTATCTCAGAGTGTTATAGCCTTTTGTCACCCAAGGCCTAGAATCCGTTTCAAATCTGAAATTTGACATTTGTTTTGAAGACAGATCTATCTAGTAAGCTTCTGTAGATATAGTCCAAGTGGACAGGTAAATATATTTTGTGAAGCCACAAGGTTTGCTGGTTTGTTGCCTTAACAATGCCTTCTGTTTGGATAATGCCTTGATTACATGATCTATTAGGAAATCGTTCTTCATTACTATAGGAACTCACTTGCCAAGATACAATGTCATCATAAACCCAATTTCTGTTGGCCTATTGTGCAAAGCAAAACAACTTTTTGCTTCTCATCATGGGTTTAAAATGCTCATCTGACTCTAAGTTCCAAGTTTAGTTAGTAAGAATTGGTATCTCTGCCTTGGGGAGCTGTTTTTGGTAAACAGGTTGGCACGTCATGTAAAATAGTCTAAATGAGAAGGGAAGCAGAATAAAAATGATGTCATATTGGAAAAAAATAACTTTTCCTTTGACTCTTGTCAAGGGCCCGACATAGTAAGTGTTCAATAAACATTTATCGAATGAAAAAGATAGATTGCCTCTAAGCAGTTGGCTAGGCAACATTAATCAGTGAGAAATCTTGGAGAAGTGGTTCAGAATCATGTGCAGTTCAAAAGTGTGACATTACTCAAATGGATACTGTTAATGAATAATTAGATAGTACTTCATTAATTAAGACTAATTTGAGGAAAAGGCATTGTGACCTCATCAATCCTTTCTAGTACTAGATCTACAATAGCAGCCATGATAGAGAAAGGAAAGATAGGAACTGTTTGGCTCAAATCAGTTTAATTAAAAGCACATCATGCACTTATTAC